AGAGACAGGGTTTTGCCATGTTGGCCAGGCTGGTCCCCAACTCCTGACCTCAGGTGATCCTCCTGCCTCGGCCTCCCAAAATGCTGGGATTACAGGTGTGAGCCACTTCTCTTGGCCCAGAGCCACTTTTAAATGGTGGCTGTAAGTATCAAATGAGAATGTAGATGTGGAAATTGGTGGAAGAGGCTGGAGTAGGGGCCTGACTGGGCCCTGTTGCCTGCCCCACTTCCTTTCGCGGCCCCCACATCCTCCTCCCAGTCTTCTGCACCAGTGACACCAGCCTACCTTCAAGTCTTCCCTCCTGACACGGCCTTTGCAACTCCTGTTCCCTCTGCCCTTTCCCCTTCTTTTCCAGCAAAGTGATTTTCCTACTTAGCCTTCAGTCCTCAGTTCTCATGGTCTTTCCTATGGAGGCTCTTGCTCTATCTCTTCTCTCTCTACCCCCAGCCTTTCTTTCTCCTCTCTCTTTCTCCACTCTCTCCCCTCTTTCTCTGTCTCTCTTGTCTTTCTCTTTCTTCTCTCTCTCTCTCTCTGTTGGTCTCAGGCTAAGGTCATCATGATTTCTAAAGGGCCGGCCTGATGTCTGGGCCCCCATCCTGGAGTCTGTTGAGCTTATACTGCTCGTACCTGATCCCCCCCCCCACCCATGAGCACATGATGCTCCATTTATTGTGTGCCTACTGTGTGCCTGGCCGTGGGGTAACCCTTGGTGGAAGGAGGCTATAATGTCACTTTGCAGATGAGGAAACTGACCCGAGAGGGAAGGCAGTTTCCAGGTGAGGCTGGAAGGTGGTGGGTTCCCACTGGGGGAGGTATGTGCAGACACGAGTCCACATGGCAGTCCTGGGATGCACAGATGGGGACCCCAGGACCAATGGGGGAGCAGTGTGGGCCCCAAGAGCCTTTGGTGGCTCTGAGGAGCCCCACAGTGGGGTCTTGGAGGATGAGGATGAGGGGTGGGTGCTGGGGGCCAGCGTGGGCTTGAAGCTCTAGGGTGAGTGTGGCAGGGTGTGGCTGGGGATATGCAGCATGATAAGCATGAGGGAGGTCTGATAAGCAACCTGGACTTTATTCACAGGATGGCCTGGGAGGCTCCCGGCAGGGGAAGGGCTTGGTCAGGCCTTCTAGAAATATTCCTCAGGCTGCTGGGAAGGGTGGATTGTGGTGGCTGGAGGGGCAGGAGGCGGCCCTGTGGGCAGAGGCAGGATGACAGGTCTGGATGGAAGGGTGGCAGCCATGGGCAGTGGGGAGAAGGGGGTTGTTTGGGGGTGTCCTGGCTCCTGGTTTTGGGGCTCCTGGAGGGACGTGCTGTGCGAGGTGCTGGTGGGGAAATGCCACTAATGCTGTCTCCCAGCTCACTGGTGCCAGAGGAGGCCACGCAGGATGGGCAACGGGGTGACCAGTGGGATGGCTTTTAAGTGTGCAGCAGTAAAAGTTCATGATAAAAGTGAAACCCGGGGTGAGGAGAGGTGTGGCGCTTAAAAAAAAAAAAGTGAAACTCAGGCCGCCTCCTACGCCACTCCTGAAGGAGCTGGGTCCTAACGCCTGTCCATCCCTGTGTCCCCCGTGCCCCCCCAACCCCCTCCCCCAACAACCACTGCTTCTTGAGCTCTTCCTTCTTTTCCAGCTTTTTCGGCTCTCTTAGCTGCTGCCCTGGGAGCCAAGAGAACCTGGCTCCGCCTGTGCCCGCACAGTCTCCCCTGCCATCTGCAGGTCAGGGCCAGCCACAATCCCAGGCAACAGGGGCTCTCTGCCTAGCAGCTGCTTGCATGCCCCCAGTGATGGGGAGCTCACCACCTACACCCAGGCCTCACTGACACTTAGACAGCCAGCAGACTACAATGTCTCACCAGGCACCAGCCTCAGAAAAGAGCTGGAATAGCACCAGTGGCTTGGGTTGGAAGATCTCAGGAGCACAGAGAAGCTGCCCTGACTCCTTGCCTGGGACTACTTCGGTGAAACACTTTCCTTCCTGCAGGCCCTGCCTGGACAAGCCCGGCCCCACAGCCAGCAGGGTAGGCCTCCCTTACATGGCTGGTGTCAGTGATTCCGGCCTCATCCAGTCCCTGGGGCCTCAGACTAGGTTCCCCAAGGAGAATGGGGGCAGGGGCCAGCCTGGGATAATTTAGGGCTCCACCAGAGGGACTTTCCTTATTTATTGTGTCACAGCTCAAAGTGGAAAGTTGGGAACCACCCTGCAAGTCACCCTGAGGAATCTCCTGCCCCAGGAACAGATCCTGCCTACAGGCCCTCAGAAGAAAAGCCTGGAGTGAGGATTCCCTCCCCCACAGGCCAGCTGTGCAACTGCGGCTCCATGGCCCCCTTTCTGGCCTCAGTTTCTCTTCTGGCAATGCCCAAGCTTCACCTCTCCCTTGTTGGGAAACCTGGCTGGCATGTACTGGCCTGTAAAGAGAAACCAGATGCGAACGTCCTTTGAAAACCCTGAGACACAAGGCACCTCCTGCTCCCCGGGAGGCCGGGCTGCCCAGGGCAGCGGCCCCAAACAGTGCAGGGCTGTTCGAGTCTCAGTTTCCTCATTCGTCAACCGGCCTTTCTTGCCTCTTCTCCATGGCAGGTGGTGGGAGGTGGGGCTGTGAAAAAATCCGGAGGCCTCCGCAGGTAGCCCGCGCCCCTTCCCCTATTGGGGGGTCTGGGCCTGCAGCGGCGTCCCGGGGCCACGGAGGGGCCGGGGCCTTAGAGGGGACCCGGCGGTGTGGGGGCAGGGCCTATCTGGGGAGGGATCTGGCGGCGTTGCGGGTGGGACTTATCAGGAGGCGGGACCTGCCCCGAGCGGGAGCTCGTGCCGGGCCCGGGAGGCGTGGGGAAGGAGTCTATCAGGAGGCAAAACTTGGAGGATGGGGCGGGGCCTGTCAGGAGGCAGGACCTGGAGGCTGGGGGGCGGGGCTCTCCGGAGGTGGGGCCTACCTGGGCGGGAGTCTATGTCGGGGCCGAGCGGCGTGACGGGGCCTTTCAGGAGACAGGACCTGGCGGGCGGGGGCGGGGCCTACCAGGAGGCGGGGCCCGCGGGGGCGGGGCCCACCAGGAGGCGGGGCCCTCGGGGGCGGGGCCGGCTCGGCTTCGCTTCTGGACCAGCCGGTCGTCGCAGTCAGTCCGGCTCAGCTCCGGCTCGGCACCGCGGCTCTGACGGTGAGGCAGCGGTCCCAGTGTCTGTCCCACCAGCCAGGCGGGCGCGGCGCAGCCGCAGGAAGGCGTCGGAGGGTGGTACCGCAGCACGGCGGGCGCGCCGTGGGCATGGCGGCCATCAGGGCGCTGCAGCAGTGGTGCCGGCAGCAGTGCGAGGGCTACCGCGACGTGAACATCTGCAACATGACTACCTCGTTCCGCGACGGCCTTGCCTTCTGCGCCATCCTGCACCGCCACCGGCCCGACCTCATGTGAGTGAGTCCCGCCCGGCGCCCTTTGACCCCTCTGCAGTCCGGCCGTGCGCCGAGATGGGCGGGGAAACTGAGGCCTGGGCTGCTCCGGGCTCCGGGAGGAGGAGCAGAGGCGTGGGGCTGGGCAGAGCCCGGCGCCAGGCACAGCCCACCGTGCAGCCCCCTCCCCCAAGGCTGCCCCCAGTGGTCTCAGTGTGCCCGGACACCCAATGCAGCTGGGCCAGAGCCTTGACATCTCCCGCCCGCCGGCTGAGTCAGCCGTGACTCAGGGCGGCTTTTGGGCTCTGGCTGCAGCCCAATCCCCCTCAGTGTCCCTGGGAAAAACCAACAGAGCTGCCTCTCTGGGCCCTCCGAGGCCCTCAGTGCCCTGGGGCCCCTGGAGGCTTCTCTCGTGGGCACTGCCCCTCCCCCACGCTGTCCAGGCCCCTGGGGGGATGCAGCCAGGGCCACTGTGGGGGAGTGGCCAGTGCAGGGCAGGAAGTCCCTAGACCCCAGGTGCTGCTGCTGGCCAGCCCTCTGAGGCTCTGGGGGATATGGGCTGAGATGGAGAACAGCACCCATCTCTGGGAGCAGCAGGAGGTGGCAGGGGATGGGGACTAGGCCATCTCCCCCCTGGAGGGTCTTGGCATGTGTAGCTGGGCAGCTGGCTCTGCCTGTTGCTGAATCTTGGCCGAGCCTGGACCTGCTCCATCAGTTATTCACTCAGCAAACACTCTGGCTGAATGACTGGGGCCGGACTTGATGGGACAGAGATCTGTGTGTCGGGACTGGGGTCCAGAGGCTCAGGAAGGAGGCCCTCAAAGGCCAGCTGCAGCCCAGGCACCTTCTGGACAAAGCATTGTCCTGAGAGGTGGAGGCTGGAGCGGGGCTGGGGTGGTATGTGTTTGGCAGGGAGGCCTGGGGGCTGGGAGGAGCCACAGGGAGCACCTACGGATGACGGCCTCTGTCAGGCCCCAGCTGTGCAGACCAGAGAACCCAGTCCAAGAGGAGGGGCCCTTGCTCAGGTCACAGAGCCCCAGCCGTTTTGCAGAGCCTGGGCTCCTCCCCTGTACCTCTGGAGACTGTTGTGCCAGCCTTATTCTCTGGAGGAAGCTGGGGTCTTGGGCAACAGCCTCGGCCCCTGCCCTGACGTTGTGATATGCATTCGTGGAGCCACTGGGGGCCTCCATGTGGCATCTGGGCACCACTTGCTCTCCCTCGCCAGGAATGTGCCTCTGTTGCCTTTGCAGGCAGAAGACGCTGGGCACAGGGCACGTGTTTCCACACAGGGAGCCTGAAGCTGAGCTTTGAAGGGGAGGGCCAGGGACCTGGAGACTGGGAGGAGGCCTCGAAATGGAGAGGAAGGCAGGCCAAGACCCCACCCCCAGGGATGCAGGGTCCTGGATGAGGCTGGCTGGTGGCTGAGGCCAGGCATCCAAGCTGGGGCCAGCCTAAAAAACCTTCAGGTGAGGGGAGAGACAGCCGCTGGCTGCTGGCCACCAGCTTCAAGGACCACCAGTGTCGCCAGAGATTTGGGGCCCTCTGGTTCTAGGGAGCGTCCCTCTACTCCCCGCTGGCTGAGGTGTGCCTGTGTGTGGCTGGCCTGCTGCATACTGCCCAGGGGTGAGCACAGGTTCACATGCGTGTATGTGCGCTGGCACAGTGGGCATTGTGGATCTCCTTGGTACACTGACAGTTATTGAGTACCTGCTCTGTACCCAGCACTGAGTCCTGTGCCAGCTCCCCTTGGCCTCCAGATGCAGGGAGTGATGTTCTGGTCACAGAAACAGACAGGGAACAGGTGCATGAATAAAAGCTCAGGGTGGCTCCTGAGAACGCAGAGGCCAGAACAGGAAGGAGGCTGGCAGAGAGGAGGCCTGTGCCCCAGCTCTGTGTGGGTGTGCAGTTGCCTGAGCTATGGCTGACTTGGTTCTTGTCTGTCTGTCCCCACTGGACTGTCAGCGCTAGAGGGTGGGGGCTCTGTTTTGTTCACTGCTGCATCCCCAGTGCCTGGAGCTGGGCTCGATAGATACCAGCACATGGTTGGAGCTCCCCAGATAAGGGCTCTTCAGTTGGGGCTCAGTAGATATGGTAGGAGCTTGGTAGGTGGCCATGTGCCAAAGAACAGAAAAAAGGCTATGTGCCCTTGGAGGCAGAGATCAGAGAGGTGAAGCCATAAACCAAGGGCGTCTGGAGCTGGGAGAGGCAGGAAGGACCCTCCCCGAGAGCCCCCTTAGGCAGCAAGGTCCAGCCCACACCTTGATGTTGGAGTCTGGCTTCCAGAGCCGTGAGAGAACAAATTCCTGGTGTTTTCAGCCTCAGAGTTTGGAAATCTGTTACAGCAGCAGGAGGAAGCTGGTATAGATTTCCATGGGTGTTGCGGGGCGGGGACCTCTGCAGACCCTGGCTGATAGGAAACCAGGAGTGTCATGGGGGGCAGGTGTACACCTACGTGTGGGGACACACGCTCATCTGGATGCATGGGCCCTTGGCTTTTATTCCAGAGTGGGAGTCTCACTGTCACCCAGGCTGGAGTGCAGTGGTGCTGTCATAGCTCACTGCATCCATGAACACTTGGGCTCAAGCAGTCGTACCACCTCAGCCTCCTGAGTAGCTGGGACCATGCCGGGCTAATTTTCTTATTTTTCATTTTATTTATTTATTTGAGATGGAGTCTTGCTCTGTCACCCAGGCTGGAGTGCGGTGGCATGATCTTGGCTCACTGCAACCTCCGCCTCACAGCTTCAAGTGATTCTCCTGCTTCAGCCTCCTGAGTAGCTGGGATTGCAGGCGCCTGCCACCACACCTGGCTAATTTTTGTATTTTTAGTAAAGGTGGGGTTTCCACATGTTGGCCAGGCTGGTCTCGACCTCCTGCTGGCTTCAGCCTCCGAAAATGCTGGGATTACAGGTATGAACCAGCCTGGCCTATTCAGCATATTGTTTCTTTCTTTTTTTTAATTGAGATGGGATCTGGTTATATTGCCCAGACTGGCCTTGAACTCCTGGCCTCAAGCGATCCTCCTGCTTCAGCCTCCCGAAGTGCTGGGATTACAGGTGTGAGCCGCCGCTGTGCCTGGCCCCTGGCTCTTCAGTCATGCCTGCCTCTGTGCCTTCATCACCCCGATCCCATGCCCTCAGCCTCTGCTCCTTGCTATGCCTCTGGGTGAGGTGATGGCTGGGGTGGTGGGGTCTCCTCATAGAGCCCTTGGCTGTCCCTCCTGTCCCCAATAGTCTTCAGGAAGGGAGGAAACACTTGTGAAGGACAGGCAGAGAGTTGCTGTCCTCTCAAGGCAGCTCTGAGGTCAGACTCTGCGTGAGGCCCCCACCCCTGCCACCCTGTTCCCCTCTCCTTCCAGTGAAGACCGTTTGGCAGCAGAAGGGTGGACGTCCTGTCTCTGTGTCTCTAGTTCTGCTACCAGGAAGTCCTTCCCTTTGTCTGGCCTTAGTCCTTCCTGCTGCATGCAGAGCGTGTTTCCGCTTGCCCTCAGGGGAAAGCAGCTGTGAAGGAATAAGCTCGGGCGCCAGGCCAGCCAGGTGGGGCACTCGGGCTCCTGGTTCTGTCTCTGCCTTGCCGACCCCGGGTGGAGGGGGTGGGGCTCCAGGTGTTCATGTGTATTGTGTTCCTGCTCCTTGAGCCACGCCGACCTCGGGTGGAGGGGGCTGGGATCCAGGCGTCCATGTGTACTGTGTCTCTGCTCCTTAAGCCACGTGTGACCACATTGGGGAGCGCCACAGGCACAGAGAAGTGTTCGTGAATCTCTGCTTTACAGCCAGGAAACAGGATCACCCAGCCACACTCACCAGGAGGTGGCAGGGTAGATGGGTCCCCTGCCTGGTCAGCCTGCCCATGTCTGCCCACCTTGTGGCTGTGGGTCCTCTGCAGCCAGGCCTCAGGGCGCCCCCAGGCACTGTTTCCATACTGGTGACACAGGGCAGCCAGGCAGCCAGGTGAGCTCAGAAACCACCCAGAACAAACAGCCCCGCTTCCCACCCTGCCTCCCTCTGGCAGTCAGCCTGTTGGGCCAGAGGGACTCTGCCATGGGCTGGCTCCTTACTCCTGGGCTCAGGCGGTCTCCAGGCACAGCCGTCGGGCAGATGGGACGGGGGCACAGCCTGTCTGGGCTGGGAGAGAGCAGGGCTAGAGAGACAGCAGGCATTGTGCGTGGCACAGGAAGCTGTCTGGTGGGTGGGGGAACATTGCTGGCCTCTTTCTTGGGGGTCGTGACTGGGGGCATTTGTCGGACTTGTGTCCAGGCCCGGGGAGGGTGTCGTGATTTGGGTCTCTGCTGCACCCTCTGTGCCAGGGCAGGGTCCCTTGAACTTTCTCCTGGTCCTGGCAGCTCTGGAGGCCCCCGCAGGGCTGGGCCAGGAAGTGGGCGTGGCTGAGGTGGCCACTGTGTGGGCCATGGAGTCCTCCGGTGGTGGCTCCCAAGGGTGGCAGGGCTCCCAGAGACACTCCCATTGTCAGAGGCCAGGGGAGAGACTCATGCAGCGGCCCCTACCGAGAGGCTCCCAGGCAGCGCCCTCGAATCCTGTGTCAGAGCCGAGGGTGGGCTGACCTCCCCTCCCACACAGGGCTGGGTCAGCAGGAAGCTGCTTGTGGACAGAGGCCTTCTGTTCCTGCCCCAGGGCCTGTAGCCAGACCCCTGCGGCCGCCACTGGCCAGAACCCTCCAGGACGGGTGTGGGAGGGCCCGCCTGTCCACCTACTGCAGGGCAACTGTCCAGGGCCCCACACTTCCTTCCAGAGGTGCAAGGTGGGGGCTCTGGGGCCTCCTCTGCCCCAGTTGTCATTGCCCCCCTGCCCACCTGCCCCTCTCCTGAGCTCTACCTGGCCACATCCTCGCGTCTCTGAGGTTTGCTCCATCCCTTGTGCCGTCTGGTCCGTCTCTCTTGGACCTCCCTCCACCATCTCCGCCGGGGTCTTCGTCTTTGTCTCCAGTTCTGTCTGTCCATCTGCCTGCCTATCCCCACTCCCTCTGCTCCCCTTCTCCATGGGATTCTCTCCTATGTGCTGCATGTGCCTTGGAGGGGCTCCTTTCATTCCAAGCCCTGCCCCCACCCCCCCACCCCCCCACCCCCGCCCCCTGTACTCCATGGCTGCCTCTTGTTCCAGGAAATAAACAGTGTGAGGTCAGCCACCCGGGAATTTGGAGGGGGTTATACATTCCCAAGAACCCCCCCCCCCAGAGGCGCCGGGACAGAGGCTGGCTGGACTCCACAGGCTGAAGTTGATGGCCATGGGTGGGTTAGAGGGGTGGCGGAGGCAGGCATGGCTGGGCAGGGGCACGCACAGTGGAGAGTTGCTCAGGGTGAATCTTGTGACTGACGCAGACTTGGTGAATAGAAATCTCACTCCCCAAGTGCAGAGCAAATGCATCACAGGCATTCATAGGGCAACGACTGTGTGCTTGACCCCACGGTGCGTGCCTCAGAGCTGGCCCTTGGCATACCTGATTTTAATTCTGAGGCTTCAGGTAAGAGGAGGTTAAACTCCAGAGGGCACTGGGTCTCAGCCCATCAGCCTGCAGGTTTGTGACGGTGGCTGGGGCCGCGTCCCTGTTCTGGCCATCTCACTTGCCGAGTTGGGGGGAGCTGATGCATTTTTGTCTGACAAGGCCAGAGGTGTCCGTCTGCTCAAGCTGCCCTCGAAAAGCTTCAGCAACAGAAAGTGACCTCCCTCGGTTCCATAGACCAAAGTCCTGGATGGAGGCGTGGGGAGGGCTGGGCTCTCTGAGGCGGGAGGGATGGTCTTCCCGGCCTCTCTCCTTGGCTGGGAGGGCTGTCTTCGCACTATGCCTTCACACCCTCTTCCCTCTCAGTGTGCGTCTGTAGCCAAATTTCCCCATTTTTTTTTTTTTTTTGAGACGGAGTTTCACTCTTGTTACCCAGGCTGGAGTGCAATGGCGCGATCTCGGCCCACTGCAACCTCTACCTCCTGGGTTCAGGCAATTCTCCTGCCTCAACCTCCTCGGTAGCTGGGATTACAGGCATGCGCCACCATGCCCAGCTAATGTTTTGTATTTTTAGTAGAGACGGGGTTTCACCATGTTGACCAGGATGGTCTCGATCTCCTGACCTCGTGATCCACCCACCTTGGCCTCCCAAAGTGCTGGGATTACAGGCTTGAGCCACCGCGCCCGGCCAAAATTTCCCTTTTGTGAGGATACCAGTCACGGATCCAGGGCTCCCTGCGAAAGAACTGGTTTGAATTCTGTTATCTCCAAAGGAAACAAAATGAATTATCTTACTTTCATAGAGAGCCTGTCTCCAGTTAAGGTCACATGGGGGAACTGGAGGTTAGGGCACCAAGGTGTCATTTTTTAGGGGGGCTCCTGGAGAAATGAGTGGGGTCTCCACCTGTCAATCTTGGTGGGCCTGTGAGACGGTTCTGGCCGGCGATTTCTGCCAGTGTCGTTGGGCCTCTGAGCTCAGCTGCTCAGGGTCCCCGGGGGAGTGAGCTTGGGAACTGTGAGGTGCTTCTGAGGAGGGCCTGGCAGGTGCCTTGGGCAGAGCATGGGAAAAGGTTTTCTGCACTGGGGGCGTGGAGCCATGGTCTGGAGGCTGGAGGGCTGGCAGCTGGGGAAGGAGCTTGCGGCAGGATGAGTGGTGGCTGTGGGACTCGCCAGGGTGGTACAGCCCAGTTAAGGAGGCCCCAAATACCTGGGATGCAGCTTGGACCTGGTCCTGAGGCTGCAGTCCTTGAGCACGAGCCCAGACCTGTGCATCATGAGGACTGGCTCCGACGCGTCGGGAAGGCCTGGGGTCCCTGATCTACCTGGAGCTCTGAGAGCCTCAATCTGGGTCCGGGGGTGAAATGGCCCTACAGGGAAACCCACTGGACAGAGCCACTGCTGGACCCTGGGGTGGACAGAAGCCAATGCGGGAGCAGATGGCCTCCTTCTCGTTTAGAGAAAAACAGAACTTGCAACACTCCCTCCCAGCCACCGGGGCATTCTTTCTGGGGACACTGCCATTTGGTCAGTGACCCCAGGGAACGTCTGCAGAAGAGCTTGAGCTTTCAAAGGGCTGGGGGCAGGGAGAGAGTGCGGGAGAGCCGGCTCCTGAGCCCTGGAGGCTGAGGATGAGGCCCAGCTTGTCTGCAGAGTCTCGGGGGAGTTGGGCATAGACAGCCACCCATGTGCCCTTGGGTCACACCCTATCTGGGGACAAGCCCAGGCAGACAGAGGCATTGGCCCAGGCCCAAGGAGGCGAAAACCCCTTTCCCTGCCACTGAGCCCAGGGAGGGGGCTCCTTGTCATCCGTCCACCTGGAGAGAAATCTGTGCATCCTCTTGTCCTGTGCGCAGTAGCTCTGCCTGTGCAGAGGGGCGGTCCTGTCATCTGGAACCTGTTACTGGGAGGTGGTCCAAGCTGGAAACAGTGGAGGGCTCCCACGGAGCACAGCAGATTGATGGGCGGCAGGGCTGGAGGCTTCCTAAGGAGGAGGTGGGCCACCTGCAGCCCCTACCCCACCCCCCCGCCCCACCGTGTGGCTTCCACCCGGCCTCAGTTTCCCCATCTGTGAAATGGGCTCACAGTCCGGCCTTGGAGTGTTGTTATGGGAGTCAAGGCTGGGCAAGGGCTGTGCAGGCTGGGCTTAGAGCTAGGCCGCCCAGGCCACATGGCCACAGAGGTCTCGGCCCCTTCTTCTCCGTTTGAGACCCGCCCGGCCTTCCTGTTTGCTGCAGCCACGGCCGTCAGATTCACCGCCAGAAGCTGTGGTTGTCTTCCCAGACAGAGACACTGAGGCCCTACGAGAAGAGAGGGCGTGCCTGGGGGAGGCAGGACACAGCTTGCAGCTCCAGCTCCCTCTGTGGGGCCAGGAAGCTTCTAGAACAGTCCAGTTCACGCTGATGTGGCAGCAGCTGCTGTCCAGGACCCCACAGGCAGCAATGTGGACACACGGGTCATGATCACTATATATTTTGTTTTGAGACGGGGTCTCACTGTGTTGCCCAGGCCGATCTGGAATTCCTGGGCTCAAGCAATCCTTCTGCCTTGGCCTCCTGAGTAGCCGGGACTACAGGCATGAGTCACTGTACCCAGCTTCCAGAACTCTATTTAACCAACCCTCCCAGAAGCCGCAGGCCATGCTGGGAGCCTGGCAGTTTTTGTGGGAGGCCTGGGGCCGGGCTGGGGCCTCCTGTGTGGGATCTAGGTGTGTTTTCTGCCCAGGGCATCTTCCCAAGGTGCCCATGAGGAAGTCCCAGGACCAGACTGGAGGTCATGTGGGACTGTCCTCTTGGCATCCCCAGGAGGGCCCTGCTGTCCAGGCTGGCCGGGGACCTCACCTTGGGAACTTCTGAGACCCTTGCATCCCGGTGAGGCTGGGCCCCTGCTGAGTACCTAGGAAGGCCACTCCACCACCCAAAGAGGGAAGCGTCTAACCTCGGTGGCCTTGACTGCTATCTCCCTGCTGTGTGACCTCGGGCAGGTCCCTGAGCCTCTCTGTCTGTGAGATGCGGACATAACCAGCACCTGCTCCACAGGTCGAGTGTGAACCTTAGGTTGGTATTTGTGAAGAACTGAGAAGGCCACCCTTCATCTCAGGGTCAACGGAAGTGATGACAGGTGGGACAAGGCGGTTCCAGGGCCTGTCCTGCCCTTGGGAGCAGCGTGGCCACCCTCTCTGCGTATGGCGCTGTCCCCTGCCTCAGGAGCCTCTCTCGTCCATTCCCTGTGGTCCTCCGGGGGCATTGGGCCTCTGCGACCCACCTGGTCACTGAGCGTTGTGATGGGACGAGCTCCCTCTGAGCTGAGCTGTGCTAGGCTGCCCTGATCTGGCAACCTCGCCTCCCGGGACTGCTTCCTGCCACCTCTGATTGTGGCAGGAACACTGGTGAGGGGTGGCCTGTCCAGGACACAGGAGGTAAAGCTGGGGCCGTCTGGTGCCTGGGGGGCCAGAGGGGGCCGCACCGCCATCCCGGCAGCATCACCGTGGCCGGAGCAGGGCCGGGAGCCCTGGCCTGTGCTCCCTGTGCGACCTCATTCCTTCACAGCCCCCCTCCTGGCCTCAGTTTCCCTGTTTGGGCAAGATGACCTCTGAGGCTCTTCAGTCCCTTGCTTTAAGGACTCTGAGCTGCTTTGGACACCATGTTTTCATTTTCCAGAAACTTCAATGCTCTCAAGAAGGAAAACATTTATGAAAACAATAAACTGGTGAGTGCTCCCCCACTGGCCCTCATCCTGCCTTCCCAGCCCGGGCCTCACAGCTGGCTAAGCTGACCCGCCCCAAGCCCCACCCATGTCCGAGGGACCAAGGGACCCCCAGGCCCTGTACCTTCCTGGCCGGGAAGTGGGGGCTCCCTGACCAGCCCTGCAGCCAGTCCTGGTCTGGCTGGCCCTAGCCTTCTAGAAATAGCTTCTTGTAGCCCAGGACTTACTGATCCCCTTTTCCTCAGTTGGGGAACAAGGTGGCAGGAGGTGGCTGTGGACCCTACTTCACTGCGGGAACTCAGCCCAGCCTGCCCCAGGCTGAGCAAGGTCTGTGGGTGGCTGTGGGGGGCTGTGGGTGGGTTCTGGGTAGACCAGCTGCCACCCTCACCACATGGGACCTGCCTCCCAGCCCTGCCTGGATTCCAGTCCTGTCCTGCCCTCCCCAGCTTCTGGGCCCTTCCCTGCGTGCAGCCTCAGTTTCCCTGCCTCAGAATAAGCGCCACACTCCCTTGTGGGTGGAGGCACTGGTACTCACCTCTGGCCCTGAAGGCATGTCCTGTGCTATGCCAGGCAGGCCTGGCCCATGCCTTTGCCCCTGGAGCTGGCCTTCAGCAGGGACAGCAGTCAACACTGAGGACACCGTCAGACCTGCCCAGCCAGCACTGCCCTGTTCAGAACAGGGACAATTTAAATGTAAACTTTAACCTAATTAAAATGAACTAAAATTACAAGTTCATGGTGAAACCTCATTTCCACTAAAAATACAAAATTAGCTGAACATGGTGGCTTGCACCTGTAATCCCAGTTACTCAGGAGGCTGAGGCAGGAGAATCGCCTGAACCTGAAAGGTGGCAGTTGCAGTGAGCCAAGACTGCACTCCAGCCTGGGCAACAGAGTGAGACTCTGTCTCCATAAATAATAATAAATAAATAAGCCAGGCATGGTGGCTCACACCTGTAATCCAAGCACTTTGGAGGCCAAGGCAGGCGGATCACCTGAGGTTGGGAGTTCAAGACCAGCCTGACCAACACGGTGAAACCCCATCTTTAAAAAAAAAAAAGGAAAATAAATAAATAAACAAGGTCAGCTCTTCGGCCGTGCCAGCCACATTGCCCTTGCTTACAGACATGCATGGCCAGCAGCTGCTGGGCTGGACAGCTCAGGGGTCTTGTGTCCCTGTCTTAGCCTCCCGTGTCCCCCACCTGTTGCCTGGGACCCCAGAACATGGCTGCCTTTGTGTCCCCTTCTGGCCCTGGGAAGGGCTTAGCAGTCTGTGGGTGTCAACCCTGCCCTGGGGGAAAGCTGCTCAAAGATCCAATAAGTCTGTGTTGCGTGGGGCTTGTGATTCTCCTGGCAAACGGCAGGTCCCCTGAGGTTTCTCCTGGGCAGGGCCTCGAGCGCCCACTGGCTTGGCGACCTCAGTCCTGTGCAGTTGGGACCGTGACCCCTACTGCACCGATGGGTAAGCCGAGGCTGGGAGGCCACGAGAGCAGAGCCCAGCTCCGGCCTTGAACCCACGCCTCTTTGGGCTTCAAGCCTGTGTCTTTGAGTTGAGGTGAGCTGGGCCCTGGTGGAGAAGGAGGGGCTCCCAGCTGCCCCGCTCACCCCCTCCTGCCTCCCGCAGGCCTTCCGTGTGGCGGAGGAGCACCTGGGCATCCCGGCCTTGCTGGATGCCGAGGACATGGTGGCCCTGAAGGTGCCCGACCGGCTGAGCATCCTGACCTACGTGTCCCAGTACTACAACTACTTCCACGGCCGCTCCCCTAGTGAGTCTCTGCTGTGTCCACCCAGCCAGGCAGGACCAGGACTGGCCCCCCACACCCTCAGGGCTCCTGGGCCTGTGGACCTCTTGGGGTCCATGCCCAGCCCCCCTCCGAATGGCCACCGGTGTGGGCACCGGGGCTGTGCACTGGCTGTGAAGCAGCAAGAGGCTTTGCTGGGGTCTCTGTGCAAAGCCCCACGCTGTGTCTTCACTGAGAGGGGCTGGGGCCCTCGTCCTGTTGCAGGCGACGCTAAGCCCCGGCTCATGCAGGCCCCTTCCCACAGCAGGCTGAGCCGCCCCTACTGCTTCCCTGAGGCGCAGGTGCACCAGCAGCCCCTGCCACTTCACCCCTTGCTGGGCCTCAGTTTGCCCATCTGGACCTCTGAGTTTCTGTGCCCACAGGGGTGGCTTGGCCGACCAGGATGGCTCCCGGCCCTGCCTTCATCTATCATGATTTTGGACCCTATGGAAGCTGGGCTGGCCTGGCAGGGTGGGGTCCCTGGACAGAATTGGGCAGGAGAGGGACAGGCCCAGCCTTTGTGTGTGCAGAGCTCAGCTCCCCGTCCCTGCCCCCACATTCCTCTTCTAGGCTTTAGAAATCCCCGGAGTCATTCTGGGCACAGGGCCTGCTCCGCCTGGTGGAGAAGCTGAAAAGTCCCTTTTCCCTGACTCCAGCTGGGGCTCTGAGTGCGGAGGGGAGGGGTGGGGGCCAGCCCGGGGCTGCGCTGGGAAAAATGTGTCCTTGGGGCTGCCTCTTCCCAGTCCTGGCCCCCCAGGTAACCCCCGTCCCCGGGCACTGGAACCTCCGGAGGGACCCTTTCAGAGCCAGGGCTAAGACCCTCCCGATCCCTGCTTGTTTCCTGCCAGTTGGGGGCATGGCAGGCATCAAGAGGGCCTCGGAGGACTCCGAGGAGGAGCCGTCAGGGAAGAAGACTCCAGCCCACTCGGCCAAGCTGCCCTCACCCGCCCCAGCCCGGAAGCCTCCACTGTCTCCAGCCCAGACAAACTCTGTGGTCCAGAGGAGGAATGGGGGCACAGAGGGCCCGCCCTCCAAGACTGTAAGCTCCCAACCCACCCTCCCCTGGTTCCCTGGGTTTTCCACCTGCGGGTGCAGCGGAGGCCGTGGGACTAGGTGGAGCTCCTAAACCATGGGACCTGGAGGTAGGGGGTGCCGCTTCCCCAGCACAGGGCTTGGTCTTAGCAAGAGCCACCAGGACTGGCTTTCTGGGGCCCTGTTGAGCCAGGGTTTGTGACCCCACTTTGTACAGATGGGTAAACTGAGTCCAAGGAGGGCACAAAGGTGGAACAGAGCTTGAACCTCGATGGGCCCAGGCAGCCTCCCTCTCGGGGAGAGAAGGGTTGCTGGGGCATGCCCTGTACCCAGGCTGACTTTGCAGAGTGAACCCAGGCAACTCCCACTTCTCAGAAGTGGAGTTGGGGTGGAAGACCATAGGGGAATGGCTGGTGATGGGCACCCCCAGCTGCCCCTGGACCACCACTTCAGGCTCCCAGGATGATGGGAATTGGATGGGATCCATGCCCCTAGATGGGGCAGGAGGCCTGGAATCTGTCCGCTGGCCCCCACCCCCACCAAAGGACCACTAGCATCAGGCCCCAGCTCCCTCCCCATGGCTGGGCTAGAGGCTGCGCAGGCGTGAGCCCCGATGGCAGCCTGCTGGCCCCTCTCCCTGCCAGTTTTCTGGCTGTAAGATGGGCTCTTTGGCTGCCTGTAGGTTGCTGCCAGGAGGGAGGTCTGGGTGGGCGGCCACTCAGAGAGGTGCTGGCCTCTTCCGCAGGGCCAGGCATCAGTCAGCAGCACCTGTGGGGTCTGCGGCAAGCACGTGCACCTGGTGCAGCGGCACCTGGCGGACGGGAGGCTCTACCATCGCAGCTGCTTCAGGTGAGGTCGCCTCCACCTGCACACGAGTTCTGCCCCTCCCAGAACCCTCCCATGGCTTCCGTCCACTCCCACCTGGCCACATCCTCCCCTTCTCTTCCCCCTCCTCCCCTTCCCCTCCTCCCCTTTCTTTCCCTCTTTTCTCCCCATTACTTTCCTCCCCCGCTTCCCATCCCCATCCTCTCCCCTTCCCCTCACTTTCCTTCCCCTCCTCTTTCTCCTCTCCCTCCTCCTCCTCCCCATCCTCCCTTATCTCTCTCCTCCCCTACCCCTCCTCCCCCTCTCCTTCCTCCCCCATCTCTCCTTTTCTCCCTCACTTTCTTCCCCCTCCTCCTCCCCATCCTCCCTCTCCTCCCCTGCCCCTCCTCTTCCTCCTCTTCCTCCTCTCCCCCCTCCTCCCCCTTCTCTCCCTCCTCTCCCCCTCCTTCCCTTTCTCCCCCTCGATTTCCTTCCCCTCCTCCCTCCTCTCCCTTCTTCTCCCCCTCCTCTTCCTCCCTCTTACTCTCCTTCCTCTCCTCTCCCCCTCCCCCTCCTTCACTTTCTCTCCCTCACTTTCCTTCCCCTCCTCCTCTTCTTCCTCCTCTCCGTCCTCCTCTCCCCCCTTCCCCTCCTTATTCTCCTCCCCATTCTCCTCTTCCTCCTTACCCTCCTCTCCTCCATCCTCCCCCTCCTACCTCTCCTCCTCTACAGCTCTTCTTCCTCTCGCTCCTCCACCTTCCCCCTTCTCCCCTTCTGTTGCTTTAGCCGAAGATGCTCTGCTGTTCCCAGACACCCAGGGCCTGACGCCTCACACTAAGCTCCAGTGTCCTCCAGCACCCCCTAGGAGATGCCTTTCTGGCTGTTCTTCCACACACCACCTCAGTCTCTCTCCTGTGCCTCTGCCCTTCCCACTGGGGTGTTTGACTCAGTGGCCATCCCCAGCCCCTCCATGCACCCTGCACCCCGGGTCAGGGCTCCTAGAGGACAAATGCTGTTCCCCCTACTTCTGTCCCCAGGTCTGCAAGGCTAGGGTGGGTTGGTCCCTCCTAGTTCCATCCCCTACTCTGAGAGGCTGGGGTGGGTGGGTCCCAAAGTGGGGCCCAGGGTGGCCTGCATGTGCATGTCTGCTGGTGTGCAGGAGCACCCTCTGGGGTCTGCACCCCAAACGAGGTTTTCAGTGGGGCCTGTGACTCAAGTGATTCTGAGCCTGAGAGGAGGTGCTTGTTGAATGAATCAGCGACCTTGCCAGTGGACACAGGAGTCTGCAATGCCTGCCTTTGGGATCTCGTGGTGAAGGCAGGGAAGAGCGGGCGGGTGGGTGCTGAGCCGGGCTCCTGTGACTTTCTTCCCCAGGTGCAAGCAGTGTTCCTGCACGCTGCACTCAGGGGCCTATAGGGCTACAGGAGAACTGGGCGCCTTTGTCTGCACCAGCCACCACCCTGAGGCTGCCTCTGCAAGCCCCAAGTTGCCAGGTCTGGCCCCCAGACGGCCAGGGGTCATGCCTGTAGATTCCAGAACCCCCTGTTCCCTGCAGAAGGCCCAGGAGGCAAACACGCCCAAGGCCGCACCACCAGCCCGGGAGCCTGCTGTGCAGAACCCGCCTCCCAGGGCTTCTGTTCCGGCTGCACCCAACCCTTTAGCCGTCAGCGCCGCGCCTGTCCACATGAGGAGCCTGGCCAGGCCCTCTGAGAGCCACCTGGCCCCCATGCCCACGGAGGGCAAAGTCCACACTCGTGTGACCAACAGCTCCCCGATGGGCTGGTCATCAGCTGCCCAGCGCACAGCCATGGCCACCTCCCATCCCGCTGTGCCCCCAAGTGCCCCAGACCCTCACCCGGCCACACCTCAGGGTGGAGAAACCCCCCGAGTGGCAGCCTCTCAAACCACGCTTGGTTCAAGCTCCATGTCTGCAGCACCGGTGGACCCCCCAGCCTGGACCCTGTCGGCCTCGAGGACCCAGCAGGCCCGGAATAAGTTCTTCCAGACACCAGCAGTGACCCCCCCCACCGGCCTTGCTGGCAGGGGTCCCGCTCCATCGTCGCTTGCTCCATCCAGGGACAGCAGCAAGGAGCAGGCGCGGAGCTTTCTCAGGAAGGCACTGGAAGAGGCTGGTGCTCCAGCGTCTGGCAGGTGGGTGGCTCAGGGACTGAGGGACCCCGGGGGTGTGGCCTCTATGCACCAGCCAGCAAGGCCCTGGGAGGCCAGAGGGGTTGGGGGCGCTGCCCCTCCCTTGCTGTGTGACCTTGGGGATGGCACTTCCCCCAGCCCCGGTTTCCTCCTTTGGGGAATGGGGAGGAGTCGGGGCGGCAGTGCCTGTGGTCGGGGCAGTGGAAGATGAGTTATTGTGGAAAAGCTGCTGTCTGCACATGCTCGGGGTGGGGAATGGTGGCACTGCCACTCCAGGGCCCACCGTGCAGCACTCCCGTGGAACCCAAAGACCCTACACCCAGTTCACGGATGCAGGGGCAGTTTGTGAACAGGACCTACACTGGCTGGTCTGAGCATCACCTTGTCTGATTGAGTCCAGCTGGGCTCCGACCTTCCATGCCTGGTCTCCGTGCCTGCCTGTGCCTGGACCCTGGGCAGAGGATGCGGACAATTAGAGGGGTTGCTGCGTCAGTTTCCAAAGACCCCCGCACACAGCAGAAATCCACTCCTCACAGCTCTACAGGCCAGAAGTCCAATGTTGAGGCATGGGTAGGGCCGAGCCCCCTCACAGGGCACTAGGGGAGGACCTGTCCTTGTCTCTTGCAGCTCCCAGCAGCCTTGGGTGTTCTTGGCTTGTGGCTGCCTCCCTCCAGTCTCTGCTCCGTCTCCACGTGGCCTTCTCTCTGTCTGTCTTCCCTCCTGTCTCTCCTAAGGACACTGGTCACTGGACTAGGGTCCACCCTAACCCAGTGTGAGTGCATCTTAATAGGATCACAGCTGCAAAGACCGTTTACAGATAAGGTCCCCCTCTGAGCTTCCTAGGGGATGTGAATTTTAGGGGTCACCATTCAACCAAGTACAGTGACGTAGCAAGTGAGGAGCTCATTGCAGTGTGGCTGACAACAGCGTTTGCTGCCCCATATGGTGGGTGCAGGGTCCCCCACTCAGAACTGCCGCCTGCCCTGCCCTGCAGCAGTGGGTGCCCAGAATCTTCAGGGTGGTCACAGGCGGGAGGAGAGCTAGTTCTCTCTGCCCCTCCTGGCACTGGGGGTGTCCAGGGCATCCTAGGGGCTGAGGATGAGTGTGTGTGGGGGGGTCCAGGGAGTGCTTCCTGGGTGGTGGGAGAGGGGTGTGTGTGGCTGGGTGGAGCCCAGCTCCTCTGGGGAAGCCACCCTGGTTGGGGAAGGGGAGAGGGGAACTGGTTGGTGAGGGGGTTGGGAACATGGAGGTGCTGCCTCAGGCTTGGGGGGGGTGCATGGTGCCCCCACCCCAGCCTCTGGCAGCCTCACTCCTGGTGTGTGCCTGAGGAAAGGCAGGAAGGCACAGAGGCCTTGTGTCTGGCGGGCTGCAGAGACTGTGTCACATACAACTGAACCTGGCAGCCTAGGCCGGCCCAGGTTCTGACAAAGCCCCAGGTGCTCCCAGCCTGAGTAGAGGGTGTGTTTAGGGGTTAGATATTTTAATCTCAGCCAACACCAGATTTCACAGGAGGGTAAAATCAGCCCCAGCGTGTACTTATGTCAGAAGTGGGTGTCTGTGGGCCATCCCTTGCCAGGGTGTTTCATCCTGCGTGGAGGCTGCGCATTCCGAGCAAGCTTCAGGGAGGCAGAGGGCAGCCTGGGTCAGTGGTAGGGGAGTCAGAGAGGCAACCTGGGGCAATGGTGGGAGGTGGAGGGTGGCCTGGGGTGATGGTGGGACTCTGTCCAGAGGTTGGGCATTGGGAGCAGGCTGCTGGGGAGGCAGAGGGGCAGCCTGAGGTGATGGCGGGAGGGCACCTGGATCCAGCTATGCCTGATATGTGCTCTTTTACTTACAGGTCCTCCCCAGCCACCGCCCCTGCTCCCAGTTCTCAGCCTAAAATTGAAGCGCCGCAAGCAAGTCCCTTAGCCAAGCTGTCACAGTCCGCATCTCCCCAACCCCTTGGCCCCACTTCGAGGTTGGAACCGCCAGCCCCCCTGAGCATGGGAAGCTCCGCTCGGGCGCCTGCATTGCCCTTAGCAGGCAGGAGGAGCTTGGCTGAATCCTCGGGGGTCAGCAGGGTGGGTTCTGGCTCCAGGCTGAAGCCAGAGGCCCCGATGGCAAAGGGTAAGCACCCCCTTAATGCAGGTGGGCTGGGGTGCAGGAGGCCATTGGGGCCGAAGCTCTGGGAGTCTCTCCTGGCTGAACTCTGCAGAGTGTGTGGTTTCACTGCTAGCCCCACCATCTTCCTCTCCGTCTCTGACTCTGTTCTCCATGACACCTGCACACAGCCTCCTGGGGTCCTGGCGCTCTCTCTGTGTGGTGGCTGCAAGCGTCCTGAGGGCTATGCTGTTTGCTGGGCACTGTTGCCCAGCCCTCCCCATCCACACGCCCTGCTGATACCTACAGTGCCCCGCTCAGCTCAGTTTGGCGGTGACACCTGGCGGGTCGCAGTGGCCTGGCTTTGCGGTGGTCTGTGGGGTCTCCTGCCAGTTGCTTTGACAAGGCTGCACTGTTGCTACAGCACTCTGTCACCACATACCAGAGATGGCACCCTGGGTCCCATCCCCATGGTGGTGTTTCAGTGAAGGCGCCCTATGCCTTGACCCTCCCGCTGGTGTCCTGGTGATGGTGCCTTGTGCCCCATCCCCCCCGCTGGTGTCCTGGTGATGGCACCATGTGCCCTGAGAGCTCTGGTGCCTCCCCGGCCTGAAACAGTCCTGTTTCATGGCCTCACGTGTTTTTGGGAATGGGGAGCTAGCTTTTTTCTAGGCACCTCAGGGGAATCTTAGAGTTTCCAGTGGCTTTATCTAGCTGGGCTCAGAGAACACGCTGGGCTGTAAAAGGTTTTTCCAGATCCTTCCCTTCGGCTGAGTTCTCATTATTAAAGCCACACCCTGGGTCCTGCTAGACCTGGGTTCACACATGTGCCTGCTGGACAGGACCCAGGAGCCAGGAAAGCCTGCAGACGGGCAGCTGTGGCTCAGCTGTTCCTCCTGCGCAGGCAGAGGATCAGAGTCCATGGGGCTCATCCTGCCATGTTCCCAACCATTTGGCAGAAGTGGAAGTTGAGGTCCAGAGATGGGGAGAGATTTCCCCAGGGACACAGCAGGGGAGGCCTAGCTGGGAGCCCCCTCCCCTGACTCCCTGCCCTGTGCTCCTGATGCCTACTGGCCAGCTGGCAGTGTGGGTGTCTGAGGATGGAGTGGCTGTGGGAAGATGGCAGGGAGAGGCACAGCCATCCCTACAGACACCCCATTCCCAGCACTCCTTCCTTACACCCCGACCCCTTGCCTCTCACCCAGACCTGAGCACCAGCCGCCAGGAAGGCAAGGAGGATGGGCCGGCAGGGTGGAGAGCGAACCTGAAGCCCGTGGAAGGGAGAAACCGAGCTGAGAGGTTAGGGGTGGGCGGGGCTGGCCCCCCAGTACCCCATAGGTGCTTAATAATTGCAGTGATTATGTAACCGACCAATTGACACGCCCATCTAGGGATGGACGCACCTCCCCGTGAGTAGCAGACACGGGGGCCGCTGTCCCTGGTTTGGGGGCAGCTGTGCTGCGTGTCGCACCTGGGCACTGCAGCACACGTGTGTGTTCACACAGCATGTCTGCAGCTAGGATGGAGTCTCCCCATGTGTGGGTCCCGTGGGGCCCTGAGCTCATACCTGGAGTTTTGCTCACACCACAGCAGGTGGCGGTGGACACACCCGCGATTGCAGGAGAGTCCAGCAGGTGTAGTTGGTGGGCTGGGACGTGGCGTTTGCTCAGAAGGCCTCCTGCTCCCTTGGGCTGGTCTGCACATGGCCTGGGAGCCCCTCCAGCTGGGCCAGGCCTGGGACTGGGGGTTCAGGTTCCGACCTCCTGCCTTCTTCCCAGGACTCTGAAGCCCAAGGAGCCACACGCCCTGGCAGAGCCGAGGGCAGGGGAGGCCCCCAGGAAGGTCTCCGGCAGCTTCATGGGGAGCATGCACATCACCCTGACCCCCGTGAGGCCTGACAGGACGCCGAGCCCAGCCAGCCCAGGACCCAGCCTCCTAGGTACTGCTGGATGGACCCCAGGGGCCCCAGGTGCCCAGCTGGCCCTCCCCCTTCGGTGGGGGTCCCAGGGCTGGACCTGTAGTGCCGCCTCCCAGAGTGTGTGAGGAGGGGCCTGGTCAGCCAGAGGAGCTGGTGGTCCTGGGAAGGCTTGTGTGCATGTGTTCACGCATGTGGTGCATGTGTGTGCACACATCTGTGTGTGTGTGTGTGTGTGTGTGTGTGTGTGTGTGTGTGTGTGTTCCTAGCACTCACAGCTGCCCTGGATCCAGGTCCGGCTCTTGTGTCACTTCCCGTGTGACCTTGAGCAGCCAGCAGCCCCCTGGGTGGACATGGTCAGGCTGGGCAGGACGTGGGTTTAGGGCTTGTGAGGCCAATGCGGTGCCAGCCGGTGAGGCCCAGGGCACAGGGAGGGCCAGGCTACCCAGTGAGCTGTGGGCTGTGCTGGGACAGACCCCAGGCTCCCAGCAGCCCTGTTCTGACACGTGGCTCTTTCTCTCCACCTGGGGGCAGCCAGGTCCCCCTCCCCACCCCACCGCAGGAAACTGGCCATCCCCGCCAGCCTCGACATTTCTGACAACTGGCTCCATTCGGAGCCGCCTGGACAGGAAGCCCCTGTGCAGAGCTGGAAGGAGGAAGAGAAGAAACCCCATCCTCAGGGCAAACCAGGTCAACCCCAGAGATGCCGCTGCTGTTTGGGGTGTGGGTGAAGGGAGCCTTCCTCTGAGGAGGCAGTGCCTGCTGGGGCTTTGGAGGATACATAGGAGCTCACAGAGCCTAGAATGGAGGAAAAGCCTGGAGGAAGGACCCAGCCCCATGCCCCAGGCCCGCCCTCATGAAGAGAAACCCCATGTGCCTCAGAGCACCTTGTCACAGACACCTGATCATAATGGTGTCTGCTTCTGGCTGCTTGAGGGACTGGGGTGGCGGGATGTTGCTGACCTGGAGGAGGGCAGGGTGCAAAGTGGGGATGGGTCTGTGGGCCACTCATGTGTCTGTGGGGCTGCAGCTGGGGAGCCAGTGGGTGTGCGGGGCAATAGGGAGGCAGGGCTGGGGCCAGCTGTGCCAAGGGCAGGCTCCTTCCAAGTAGTGTCCTGGTGGAGTTGGTCCTGGTGGCCAAGGCCTGGAGGCTCACCCTACCCCTTCTCCAGGGAGACCTTTGTGCTCGGTCAATGTTCTTGCTCCGCCTGGTGAAACGGTGACCTCCCCCGTCAGGGTGAGTAGCAGTGGGGAGCTGGGCAGGGCCCAGCCCTCCGGCGTCCTCACCATCCCTCCATCCCCAGCTGCACCCTGACTACCTCCCCCCGGAGGAGATCCAGAGGCAGCTGCAGGACATTGAGAGGCAGCTGGACACCCTGGAGCTCCGTGGTGTGGAGCTGGAGAAGCGGCTGCGGGCGGCCGAGGGAGGTGAGTGCCTGGGCCTGGCCCTGGGGCAGCCTAACTCCCATAGACATCCTGGGGCCAGGGGCCGAGAACCCTGGTGGACCCCCTGCCCCAGCTGGCTCCTCTCCCCAGATGACACTGAGGACAGCCTCATGGTGGACTGGTTCTGGCTCATTCACAAGAAGCAGCTTCTGCTGAGACAGGAGTCAGAGCTGATGTACAAGTGAGAGCCCAGCCTCGGGTCCCCCCTCGAAGGCCAGGCCCGCGTTGCTGGCTTGATGGGCTAGTTGGGGATGGGGTGGCAGGGTGAGGCCTCAGACACGGGGGACGGGGCGACAGGGTGAGGCCTCAGACACGGGGGACGGGGCGACAGGGTGAGGCCTCAGACACGGGGGACGGGGCGGCAGGGTGAGGCCTCAGACACGGGGGACGGGGCGGCAGGGTGAGGCCTCAGACGTGTGTCTGTGTGGCATGTCCAGGCCCTCGTTGCAGGCTGGGCGGGGCAGATGGGAACGGGGTGGCAGAGTCAGGCCTCAGACTTGGGGGACGAGGCGGCAGGGTCAGGTCTCAGGTCCAGACCCTCATTGTGGGCTGGGTGGGCCGCGGGGGAGGGACAGGGGCAGCGGGGCCAGGACTCAGACACGGGGGACGGAGCAGCAGGGTCAGGCCTCAGACTTGGGGGACGAGGCGGCAGGGTCAGGTCTCAGGTCCAGAACCTCATTGTGGGCTGGGTGGGCCGCGGGAGAGGGGCAGGGGCAGCGGGGTCAGGACTCAGACACGGAGGACGGGGCGGCAGGGTCAGGCCTCAGACATGTGTCTCTGCGGCAGGTCCAAGGCGCAGCGTCTGGAGGAGCAGCAGCAGGACATTGAGGGGGAGCTGCGCCGGCTCATGGCCAAGCCTGGTGCGTCCCCCACCTGCCTGCTAAGGGGCCCCAGCTGGGGATGCTGCGGAGCCCAGGGTGCCTAGGGGCAGGCTTTGCGAGGCCACCTGGCTGTCCTGGTGGTGAGACCTTCCCCGGAGCCACGCGGGCCCAGGTTTGAGTTTCGGCTCTCCAGCCTCCTGGCTGTGTATCCTCAGCCGAGGCAGTTAGCCTTGCTGTGCTTGGATTCAGCCCCTGCAGAGTGAGGGTGCTTGACGCACCCACCTCACACAGCTGTTGTGACGATGGAACGCATCAATTTGCGTAAGGCGTTTAGTGCAGCAGCAATCAGGGTGAGCTGTGGGCATGTCTTGTGATGCCGGGTGCCCTGGCTGAGGGCTCAGGCCCTGGCCATCCTGCCTCTGCCCTTTCCTTGCTCTGGGGCTGGGGACAGCAATGCCCTGAGCCTTAGTTTCCACATCTCTACAGGGAGTGTTGTTTTCGGGAGATGACAGGGAAGGGCCCCAGCACTCGGGCTGACATGCCTTCCTTCCTTCCTTCATTCATTCACTCATTCATTCATCTGCTCCGGGTGCCCCTAAGACCCCACCTTCCACCTCCAAAAGAGGAGCCTGGTGCTTGGGTGGTGGGGACATTGTGTTCTGTAGGGGCATGGTGGGGGGCTCCCGCTGACAGAGCTGTCCCCACAGAGGCTCTGAAGTCACCGCAGGAGCGGAGGCGGGAGCAGGAGCTGCTGGAGCAGTATGTGAGCACCGTGAATGACCGCAGTGACATCGTGGACTCGCTGGATGAGGACCGGCTCCGGTGAGGGGCAGGTGCCCCAGGGTCAGGCCCTCTCAGCCAGGCCAGGACTGGTCGTCTGGTCCATGCTCCCAGCCTTCAGGGTCAGCCTGTCCCGTGGAACTTTCTGTCCAGGGTGGTTATTGTCTGTGCCGTTCGGTGCAGCAGCCAGGGGCACACGTGGCCATCAGGAATTTTTTTTTTGAGGTGGAGCCTTGTTCTGTCGCTTGGGCTGGAGTGCAGTGGTGCCACCTTGGCTCACTGCAACCTCCACCTCCCAGGTTCCAGCAATTCTCCTGCCTCAGCCCCCTGAGTAGCTGGGACTATAGGTGCCCACCTCCATGCCCCACTAATTTTTGTATTTTTGGTAGAGACAGGGTTTCACCATGTTGGCCAGGCTGGCCTTGAACGCCTGACCTTGTTGTCTGCCCACCTTGGCCTCCTAAAGTGCTGGGATTACAGGCATGAGCCACCACACCCAGCCAGGAACTTTTAAAAGTCCCGCTTTTTTTTTGTTGTTGTTTCTTTTTTTTGAGACAGAGTCTTGTTCTGTCACCCAGGCTGGAGTGCAATGGTGACATCTTGGCTCACTGCAACCTCCACCTACCAGGTTCAAATTATTTTCCTGCCTTAGCTTCCCAAATAGCTGGGATTACAGGCATTCACCACCACACCCAGCTAACTCCTTTTTTTTTTTGGAGTTTCACTCTGTTGCCCAGGCTGGAGTGCAGTGGCATGATCTGGCTCACTGCAACCTCCATCTGCCATGTTCAAGAGATTCTCCTGCCTCAGCCTCCCGAGTAGCTGGGATTACAGGCTTGTGCCACCACACCCAGCTAATTTTTTGTATTTTTAGTAGAGACAGGGTTTCACCATGTTGGCCAGGCTGGTCTCAAACTCCTGACCTCGTGATCCACCCACCTTGGCCTCCCAAAGTGCTGGGATTACAGGCATGAGCCACTGAGCCTGGCCATAAAGACTTATTTTTTAACATAGACTTCTGAGGCCACATGCATCTCCTTTTTGCCACAAGGGCTGTGTATGACTGATGGCTTTCCTGTCTCATCTCATGGGGGTCCCGGGCATGACACGCAGGTTGGCAGCTGGAGCCCGCCTCTACAAGCCCCTCTGTGAGCATGAAGGGGCCTTGGCATGGGTCAGGCTAGGGTCCTTCTGACCAGGTCTCTGGTGTGGTCAGCCCAGGCCCTCCTATCCCAGGTCACTGTTGAGGGGCTGGCCCTGGAGAGGGCGGGGACCTGGCATCTGTGGGAGCAGGCTCCCGGGCCAGGTATCATGGGGCTAGGCGGGGCTCAGGGCTGGGGTGAGGTTGGCTGGAGACTGTCTGTGGGCCCCTCCAGAGCACGTCCCCATTGCTGCTGTCGCTTACGACCAGTCTGGTTCCGTTTCAGGGAACAAGAGGAGGACCAGATGCTGCGGGACATGATTGAGAAGCTGGGTGACTGGGCTGGGGGTGTTGGGGGCAGGTGGGCTGGCTGGGTGGGCTGGGACTCCTGCTGGGGGTGTGGTGCTGGGGCCCTGCCCAGCCTTGGTGACTGTATGGGCAGGTTCACTCTGAGGGTGAGAGCTCCTTCCTGCCACTAAGAGGGCCAGGGGGTAGCTGGTGACCATGTAGTTATGGTGGGGACCAGCCCTCTGGGGCGCCTGGTCGGAGCAGGTGCTTATGCAGGAGGGCACAGGGCTTCCTGCAGGCTTTGAGGCCCCAGGAGGACTTCGGCCCATGGCAGGGAAGGACGTTTCCTGCAGGGGAACTTGTGTGGGCCGTGGCCGTGCTGTGATGAGTGTGGCCTCGCTGTCCACCCGTCCTCTAGACCTCCAGAGGAAGAAGTCCAAGTTCCGCTTGTCCAAGATCTGGTCACCAAAAAGCAAAAGCAGCAAAAGCAGCACTTCCCAGTGAGTGGCCCGTGGGGCTGTGGGCTGGCCCGGACCCAGCACTGGGACACGGACTCAGGAAGGGGCCTCCTGTCCCCGCAAGGGGCACGTGGACAGCAGGGACCTGCGCTACGGTCTGTGGCCTCAATAAAGAAACTGACCACATGGGCTTGGCCTCCTCTGCACCCTCGTGTTTGCCTCGGTGCCCCTGGGCGGCCTCCCACCTGCCCGGGGTCTTGCCTGTCTCCCAGCTCTGCTTGCAGCACGAATATGCTCTGTGGCCTCAGGCAGGAGCTGACCCTCTCTGGGCCTGGCCCCTGGAGGTGGGCATTTTCCTAGCTTCCTGGCACAGATGGGCTAGAGGGAGCATCAGAGGCGTTGTTGGTGTAGACTGGGAACTCTTGGGTGCTGGTGTCCCCACATACCCATGGCCTGAGACCTATGACCTCGGTCTCCCAGGACTGGGGCCTGGGATGGAGGAATGTGAGTACTGACCCTGGTCAGGGTGACTTCCTGGTGGCCAGAGCAGGACGTGGGCCACTTCCAGGACATGGGCCACTTTCCGACTTCCAGTGAGTGGATGTTGTGGGAGGAGCGCTGAGCCGGGATCACAGCTTCCCTGCAGGCTTCCATCTCCCCATCTGTGCTGGGAGGGGCGGGGCTCTGCTGCTTGTTGCTGTACTGTTTCAGCTGCTGGGGGAGTCCTGGGGAGCCCTCAGCCGTGGCAAAACATCAATGCTCTCCTCCTGGGTCAGGAGCCCCACGGCTCCCAGCAGGGTCCCAGCAGGTTCAGAGCCTGGAGTTCCCGCCGTGTGTGCATGGGCCCCGGGGAGCTTGTGCTGGCTGGGCCTCTGATGCTCCAAGGCCTTCAGTGTGCCTGGTGTGGGGCATGGAGAGGGCAGGTAGGCTGGGGTGCCCAGATGGAGCACAGCCTCTGCTGTCTGCCCTGCTCTCAGCAGCTCGGGCTAGGGCACTGCCCTCTCTGAGCCTTTGGTGACATGGGCTGCCTGGGGGCCATGTGAGGGTCAGAGGGGCCCACTGGTATGCCTGGGGCAGTGATGAGGGTGGAGCACAGAGGTGCCCTCTTGCCCTCTGGTGATGGTGAGACTCCAGCTGTCTCCCTCTGTGCCCTCTGTTTCCCACCAAAGAGGGAAAGGGGCTCCCCCAGATGAGGCCACAGGCCACGTGCACACAGCGATGAGTGGGGAAAGGGGCCCATGCTCTGCCTGGCCGAGGCCTCTCTTCGAGTCGGGCCACTGGGACTGAGCATGTTGGTGGAAACTCCCTTCTGCCCTCCAAGGACCGAGAGGCAGTAGCCGGCAGCTGTGCAACCCTGGAACTCCCAGGAGACTTCTGCGGGGGTTGGGGGCTCTCACCTGGATGTTGAGGAGTTAAGGTCCCTTGGACAGGCAGGGTGTACCCTGTTGAAGGAACAGCACGGGCAATAGTCTGGAAACTTGAAGATGTGTGTTGGGTGGGGTGGAGGTTAGTCGCAGAGCGGGTGATGGAGGCAGCTGGGCTCTGTCAGGGCCTGGGCTGGCAGGGACTTGTTCCTCGGGCACTGGGTGCCTTGAGTGGTTCTGAGAGGTCCCCGGCCTCTGCTGTGTTAGGAATATGATGCAGTGGAGGACAGCCTGGACGGGGTCCCGGAGCTGAACCTGTGGGTCCCCTGGGACCTTGGCCCCCTGCTCCTGTCCCAAGGCCTGACCCACGGCAGTGTGGCCTCTTCACCACCAGGGGGCGGCAGAGAGCCACTCAGCGTTGAGGGACAGCAGGGGATCCCGGAAAAACTCCGTTTTCCAGATAGGAAACTGAGGCTGGGAGAGGGCTATGGCTCTCCCACGTCACACAGCAAGTGAGGTGGGGTCGGGGACTGGAGCCTGGGAGGCCACCCTTGGGCTCCTGGTGGGATGGGGCCGGGGCACGGGGACTGCGTAGCATTTTTGAGACAGGAATGTGAAGGGAGTGTTGACCAGCAAGTCAGGGGCAAGGGCACCTGGGGCTCCGTCCTGCTGCAGACTTGAACCCATGGGGGAGTGTGTCCCACCTCAGGGCCAGGAAGCTTCTGCCCTCACCATCAACCCCCTGTATCTGGGGACCTCAGAAGCAGCCTTAGGGTGCCAGGTGGGCTCTGGGCTGGGCATATGGTTGGTGCTCAGTGATCAGAGTCCTTGAAAGTGGTCAGGTCCCCCGGGCAGTAAGCTAGCCCTGTGGGATGTCCTTGCCGTCCACCAGGGGCCCAGCACCTGCAGACCCCAGTGACACCCTCATGGTGAGACAGGCAGGAATGCAGCCCTGGGACCATGGGCATTGGCCAGGCCCTGTGACGTCCCTGTGAGGCTGTGAGGATGGGCATGGGACCCCCAAGCAGCCTCTCGAGCACAGGTGGGGCTGGCTGCAAATGTGGCTGTACCCCCAATGTGGAAGCATCAGCCTGAGCCCCACTCACCCTACATGACCCCCCAACAACTTGCAGGGAGGATGGAGGCATGCAGCTGGCTAGTGGCCCAGCCGGACGTCACCCACACCTGCAGGAGGCTCCAGGCCATCATCTCAGTGCACGTGGCAAGCACTCAGTGCACAACGGCGGCTTTCTCTCTGCAGACGTGGCCAGGAACAGCTAGTTGTCCTGAATGGATATGAGGAAGGGGAGGAACTATTCCCTGACCTACACCCTCGGTGGCCCCTGTGTCTGTGCTGGCCTCAACACTGCAGCCTCGGGTCTGAGGAGCAAGGGCTGGATTGAGGAGTGTTCTGGGCTCAGGAACCAGTGTGGCCCTTCTGTTGAGCTCCGGCGTGGGGAGCGGACACTGAGTGGCCCTGTGTGGCTGCGGCAGGGGAGACGAGGAGGGAGGGAAGGCTGGGCAGGGCAGGGTCTCCACTGGGATGCTTGGAATTTGGATTTGGAGAGGCGGGTGGCTTTTGGGCAGGGAGTGGCCCCTCCAGGATGGGCACATGGGGCCAGGCCAGCCCTCCAAGGGCACTGGTCTGTGGGAGGGCGGGGGCAGCGGGTGGGGACTCATGCTTGCCCCTCGGGAAGCCGGGACAGGCTGGGGCTGATTCCCAGGAGTTCCTCCAGCCTCACCTCCCATCACTCTCGCCCCTTCTGCTCCAGCTGCCCAGCCTCTGGGCCACGGGGCATTTGCATTCGCTGGCCCTGCTGCTGTGCTCCTGCACTCCACACGGCTGGCTTCCTGTGATCTCTGCTTAACTGTGCCCTCTTAAGAGAGGCTCCTGCCCCTCACCCTGATTTATTTCTTTTTAGAGACAGGGTCTCACTTTGTTGCCCAGACTGGAGTGCAGTGGCACCATCATGGCTCCCTGCAGCCTTGACCTCCTGGGCTCAAGTGGTCCTCCCACTTCAGCCTCCCAAGTAGCTGGGAACACAGGCACACACCACCACACAGCTGAAATTTTTTGTAGAGACAGGGTTTCGCCATGTTGCCCAGGCTGGTGTTGAACTCCTGGCCTCAAGCAATCCTCCTGCCTTGGCCTCCCAAACTGCTGGGATGAGAGGAGTGAGCACACAGCAGCCACCCTGATTTATTTCCAACACTCGGAACTCACCTGTATTTAGACACTGGTTTCAGCTTCCTCTCTGTGACAGATGCTCCGGAGGTCCGGGCTCCTTCATCTTTCTGCCACGCTGTCCTCAGTGCCTAGTACAGTGCCTGGCACACAGCAGGAAACTGATGGGTATTTATTGAGTGAATGAATGAATGAATGAATGAATGTATCACACCAGTGTTTAAGGCCACTCTAGTACTCAGTCCTTTCACCTGTCAAGGGGACTAGGAACCGGCCCAGGGTTGCTAGCTGGTCCACTGGTCCAGGGAGACAGACCTGCCTGAACCTGACTGGTTTCATCCTTCTGGGACCCTGGGGGCTTCCCCTGCCCTGCCCAGGGTGGGACGATTAAATCAGATCTGTGGGTAGTGGAGCCACTACCAGTGGGCACACCCCAGGCACCTCCTGCCCTACCCGGACTTGAGCTGAGCAGGGGAAGGACAGGGAGGGACTTGGGAAGAGAGCACAAGGTCTCTTGGTAGATTTTCCAGGGCATCTCAGAACTGGGGGACGCCGTGTTCCCTGGGGCCCAGAGATGGAGCCCAGCCCTAGCGCTGGGTGGTGGGGACAGCCCGGCTGGGCCCAAAGACCACCTTCTCCCCCATCTGTGTAGCCTGTGGGGTCCCCGCCTGGGCATGTCATAGCTGAACTGCCCCATAGGGAGTGGGGGATTGACATGCAGAACAGACCCCAGCCACTTCCACGGCGGGGACCCCTAGCAGGGCCCCCTCATCCCTGCAGGTCCCATCTGCCCTGCCCAGGCCTCCTCCTTCAGCTCCGGCCCTAACACACAGGAGCTGGCTTGGCCCTTCCCACGGAAAGCACCTCAGCTATCTCCAAACCCCTTTTCAGAGGAGGGCTTTGAGGCCAGAGAGGGGAGGGGCCTTCCGAGTCCCTCAGCCTGCCATGGTGGGTCTGGCTGGGGTGGGGACAGCAGGGCTGCTCCTAGCGGGGCAGGAGTTGGAGGGGTCTCCAACGGGGGCATGGCCATGCCCTGAAGCCCCTCACAGAAACTAGAGAGGGTTGTGGGCATCACTCTGTTCCTGTGACAGGAGGGGGCAGGAATAGGCAGGACCTGGTTTTTGTGCCTTGGCCTCCATCTGGGAGGAGGCAGGGAGCAGAGCTCTGACTCCTTCCAGCGAGGGCCCCCCATGTGGCTCTGCTGCCCGGCTGCAGCTGAGGGCTTCCTAAGGGAGGGCCTCTGTGGGAAGCCCGCAGTTACCCGCAGGTAGAAATCTCCGTGGCCTGCGACTCTGCAGCCCGGTGTCCTTCCAGCCTCGAGTGGCCTCTGTGAGGGTATCCGGGAAGAAGGATCTTTTCCTGGGTCTTCTCCTGGCTTCCCCCTGCCCCCTCCACATCCCTCACGGGGACGTCAGGGCCAGCCATGCCTTGCTTCTTGGGGAATCGTGAAGAAGGGGCCTTGTATGGAGCCCAAGATGCAGAGAGGCTGATGGCTGCCACGGAGGCTTCGTCCCTAGCAGCCATTCCCCGCCAGGCCCACCCTCACCTTTGTGGGGCCCTGTTTTGCTTTGGGAGGGAGGAGCCTCCCACCTCTGGCCTAGGGGCCGGAGCACCAGGGCTGGGAAGGCCTCAGAAGGACT